AGTCCTGCTTCGTGTCACCGGTTGAGCCTTCCCACTACATTGTTAAATGCTCTAAACTTCAGAACACCCTTACTGTAAATCCTGATTCCTTTTCTTCTTCTCACCTTTTTTCTCCCTTTCCCCTTATTCCTCTTTTCCCTCCTTTGGAGTCTTTCATCTCCCTTGGGTATTTGTTACTTCTATTATTTATATCTCCAATCTATATCCCCCCCCCTCTTGTGGGCCCCCTAGCTACCCTTGCAGTGCGCCTCTTTCTAGTATTTGACTGGCTCCAACCTCTACCATACTAACCTCTTTCCCCACTACTAAACCTTCTACCCCTCTCACTATACTACCACTAACGAACAAACGAACAAGTGCAGGTAAGAGATCCCAATGGGATGAGCGGGGAGACGGGACAGATGAAGCATAGCACTGGAGAGGAGTATCTCTTAGCTTCGTAAAATAGTCCATAGGGCTTAAACCCTAGCAGCTAAGGAGGCGATCGTAGGGGACCAGTACTTGAGAACTAGGAAAAGGCAGGTCATTTTGCATCGAACTTGTGGGATGTTGGGGTTGGGGGCAGTGAATCTTGATAAGCTGGCAGCAACGCGGGGTCGCATCAGAGGTAGCAACGGTGGGAGTTATAGAAAAAACTGAGGAGGCAGTTTGCAGTGATCATTTCAAAGTTTTTGAAGCTGCTCCTAAAAGGGTGGTATATTTATACTTTTTACTGAAGGTGAAACGTAGGGGCTTGAAGAACTCAAAAATTTGGGGTGATGTGAAGTAAAGGGCGTGATTCACGGGCATTTTAACTTTTTCCAGCACCGAGGCTTTTGAGCTTTCATATAGGAGGGGCAGAATTTGAAGGAGATGTGTAAAGGGTAAGGTTTTCCCATGAGGGTATACGGGAGCGTCACAATTTTTTCCTCTCAGAGGGGAGTCTTGACGAATCTGAATGGGGAAAAGCAGGTGACTGAGGTCGACGGGAGCAGGGGAGAGGTGAAAATGGTGGGTTAACAGCGGGCGGGAGTCAGGGGAGACGTTGGGCAGCAATCAACGTTGTCGGCAGTGGAAGTGGTTATAGAAGTTACGGGAGCAGTTGCTTGGGCAGGAGACGGGTCTGCAGGTGCAGTAAAGTTCACGTTTTTGGGAAGGATCTTGAGGATGTCTCTGAAGGTGTGGAGTCCCCGAAAATTAAAGGGATCATTTGTTCAGGGTTTCTGCTTTTTGCAAGAGGGCATACACCATGCATACAGACCTTGGAGGGACATCGTCGGGGAGTGGAGAGGTTGCTGGGGGAAGGGTCTGTAAAATGGCATATAGAATTTGGGGTGTTGGGTTGTAGTTTGTTTTTTGCGCATAACATTGAATTTGAGGGATTCTTCAGATCTTTTGTTTTCTTTAATATATTTCTTTCCTAGGGGCACTCGCTGCAAGGGGATATATTACCCTTGCAGTTTTAAAACATGTTGGAGCTGTAGTGAGGGGCAGGGTCTGAATTCGGTCCTTCCCACATTTTTGGGCAAAACTTCTTATCCTTGATGGGGGAATCCCTTTGGGGGTGTGATTACAGGAGTAGGGGAAAGTATGTGAAACTTCTGGCTTTATGACTTGGTGAAGTGATAATATGAAATGGCCCGACCGCAAGAGAGCTCGGGTACCATGCGATACGAGAATGAATCTTTAAGGGGATAGATAGGCGTTAGGGACTTGGGGATGCTATCAAATGAGGCCCCGGGGTTTTTGTTCCTCAAAAACATTCTTCAGTGCTTCAGTTGAGAGAGGGACATCTTGTCCATCTTTTCAAAAGACCAATTTTTTTCACCTTCAAGACTGAAGACGGGGGTATTTGAATTTTCTTTTTTGTAGGTCTTGGGGTTGAAAATCTCCATTGTTTGATGCTTCATTGTTGTCTGTGCAGACGACAATGAAGGAGTCCTTCAGAGAGTGGATTGCTGTAAATTTGACCTGCAGGCAGGTCCTAACGGCGGTAGCTAAAGCTAGTTTTGAGGAGTCATTGATTACACCATTCACAGGCTTGATTTTCACACGATGTGACAGCATTGTGAGAAAGGAGGTGGCGCTTGTAGAATATAAATTTCCCACCCCAGTGGGGATCGAAGGGAGACTTGAGTGTAGAGCAACTGTGTCTTGCCAGTAGCAAGGTCACTTCCACCTCCTGGCCTATATATACTCCCTCCTCCTCTCCTTTTCGAAGATTAGCTAATCTTCGCCTACCCCGTCTTCCCTGCTCACCTCACTGGGGGTCTTACCTACAGAAGAGCCTGCTATTCCTGTTTTCAAGTCTGTCCCACGATCGCCTTAGCTGTTGGGTTAAGCCCTGGCTCTATTTCTGCGACTAAGAACACTCCTCTCCAGAACCATTATTCACCTGTCCCGTCTTTCCCGCTCATCCCATTGGGATCTTACCTGCACTTGTTTGTTCGCTTGTTCCTTTTCGTTAGTGTAACTGTAACTGGTCCAAGTCGGATTGAAACGTCGTCGTAAGCTCCTCTCTTCTATATGCGGGTTATTTATGTATGGATCAGTCTGATTGACCAGGCTAGCACCAGACAAGCCTGGACCATAGCCGTTCTCTGGGTGTAGAAAAACTCGGAACTCATCAAAGGTAAAGGTAACTCGATATGGGAAATGATCCATTCAAATCGATGAATGAGAACTCAAGAGATTGGTATGATGCTTGGGGTAAGGTTATTTTAAATGCCGAACTAATAGGATGTGACGCATCTTTAAGGAAATACAAGATTAGTGATGTAATCAGTAGCGAGTGACTTGTGTAAGAGATAAGATTAAAATATAAGGAATACATGCCGTACTTTATTGTAATTGATGGTATCGATGTGCACATGACAAAAATGCAAGAATGTAACTTTTTCTTTTGTTTGTATCGAGGAATAATAGTAATGAATAATTTGGAATGTGTGCACTTGCCGAGTTGTACTCAATGTGGCCTCACCTCTTCAGCTACAGTCTCTCACAATATTGCTTTCTGAACACTTGGACCTGGTCATCTTCATTACTTTTGAAATGAATATGGTTAGCTGTGTGTGCGTAAGTTTATTCAGGTATAGGTACACGTAAATACAGTTACATAAATTATCATACATGGCAGCACATGCGTAGATTACCTAGGGTGACCCCAAAATGTCAAAGTGACTTATTTCCATTGGGGTGTTGGGGTGTGTGTATATGCACTCATCTATATGAAGTTGCAGGGGCCTAGTCACAGCTCCTGGCCCTGCCTCTTTGCTGGTTTCTACTAGGTCCACTCTCTCCCTGCCCCAAGAGCTTTTTCACACCTTTTCTTAAAGATATATAAGGATCCTGCCGCCACTACATCACTCCAGAATGTTCCACTTCCTGACAACTCTAAGGCTGAAACACTTCTTATCCTGTGACTCATCTGAGTTTTTAACTGCCACAATTGTGACTCCTTGTTGCTGTGTCCCATCTCTGAAACATTATCTTCCTGTCCACCTTGCCAATTCCTCTCAGTATTTTATACATCATTATGATGTCCCCCCTATCCCTCCTATCCTCCAATGTGGTCCAGTTGATTTCCCTTAACCTCTCCTCGTAGGACATACCCCTTAGCTCTGGGACTAGTCTTGTTGGAAACCTTTGCACTTTCTCTAATTTCTTGACCAGGTGTGAGTTCCATACTGATACTGCATACTCCAGTATGGACCTTGATGGACATAGTGTACATTGTCTTGAATGACTCCTTACTCAACTGTTGAAACTCTATTCTTAGTTTTCCCAGGTGCTCATATACTGCAGCAGTTATTTGGTTGATATGCGCCTCAAGTGTGCTCGGTATGATACTCACTCCAAGGTCCTTTTCCTTGAGTGAGGTTTGCAGCCTTTGGCCCCCCGTAGTCTGTACTCTGTCTATGGTCTTCTTTGACCATCCCCAATCTTCATAACTTTGCACTTGTTGGAGGTTAAACTCCAGGAGTCAGTTGTTGGATCAGGCTTGCAGCTGTTTCAGATCCCTTTGTAGTCCTACCTGATCCTCATCCATTTGAATTTTCTGCATTAGCTTCACATTGTCTGCAAACAAGGACACCTCTGAATCTGTACCTTCTGTCATGTCATTCACATGTTGCAGAAACAGCATTGACCCTAGGACTGACTTGTGGAACCCCCACTTGTCACATATGCCCACTCTGACACCTCGTCACCTACGCCCACTCTGACACCTCATCACATACCGTCACTCATCACAATACCATCAGGTGTTCACTGATCCATTGCAGTGCTTTTCATGTTATTCTTGCCTGCTCCTCTAGCTTTTGCATTAATCTCTTGTGTGGAACTAACGCTCACTCTTTTTGAGAGCAAGCAAGCGAGCAAACATGCTATTATACCTGCTCTTAAAACTAAGCATTGAGCCTGCCTCTACTTCTTCATGCTTCTGCTTCTGATTTTGCTTCTGCTTCTGCTTCTGCTTCTGCTTCTGCTTCTGCTTTCCAGTCATCCTGAGACTTAAGAAATGTTTCTTGACATCCTTGTATCTTATCAGTGTCTTTAACTTCCATTTGTGCCTCAGAGCACTTGTTTTCTGCCTTTCAAATAGTCTCTCCCTTTCTGCCCCATTGATTTCTCTTGAGTATTTTGTATGTTGTTATTGTCTCCTGTAGTCTTTCAGTCCTTTTGGTAAAATCAGCCACACATTTTTCTCATTTCTGGATGTTTTGATATTCAGTTGTCATGGTACTTGTATGTAAAGTTGTAAGTGACAACAAAAAAGTCTAAAGGAAAATTCTATATAATTAACATATGTGAAGCATTTTTTTTAACACACCAGCCATCTCCCATCAAAATAAGGTGGCCAAACAAACAAAAGATATTCACTATCATTTACTCAGCAGCCATTTTGCTAGAAGTGTGCAGACATCACAATTCAAATGGGCCTCCAAGCAACAACCTTCCCATACTTCCTTCTATTTACAGTCACTGTAATTTCCATCTCCAGGGATTGACACATGTAGCATATGTCTTCAGAAGTGATCAACATTTCAAGGCATCTGAAATATCTGAAGAATCTGTAGGTGTTAGTGATATTGATATATGTAAATTTTTTAGCTTATTAAGAATATTGACATTTAGGAATACAAGAGAGCCTGGCTTTACAGTGCTTCACTTTACACCGTTTTGCTGATGCAACGGTTTTCAATTATACTCATTCTTCATTTATTCAGGCTTCTTACAATAAAAATATTCACCACTCGCTATAAGCTAAGGACAAAAATATTTTAAGGTAAGTATTGTGTGTACTGTATATGCATATTTTAGGCCTAGTTCTAGTGTTCACTCAATATGTGATACAGTAAATATGTTATCAGGCTTTTATATGCATTTGAAAGTGAAAAAAAGGCTATGTTTCACTTTACAGCAATTTTCCATTTACAGCAGTAACCTGGAACCTAACTTGCTGTATAAATACGTGGGGCCCTCCTGTACAGTATATCTAATGATTGATGGCAACATTTCAGGAGTGACCGGACAGATGTAGTGGGTGAGCTTCGAACTGCAGAGGAGCAGGTTGAGGAGCTGCGGTTACTATGTGAAGCTTACACCAGATCGCTTGAAAAATGTCTTCACACGCACACCACTGCCGACGAGAAGAAGTTGGTTAGTAAAAGTGCATGGATCACTACCACCACTATCCGCATCATCATCATCACCATCATCATCACTATTATCACCGTCAGTCATCATCATTATCATCATCATCACAAGGAATATGGTGAAAAGTGACTCGAGGGGGATTTAGGTGATATAATTTTTTCTGTTATGTAATATGCCTTTTGCCTGTACATAGTATTATATGTACAGGCAAATATCGTTAACCCCCGGTTAACGATATTTTTTCACTCAAGAAGTATGTTCAGGTGCCAGTACTGACCGAATTTGTTCCCATAAGGAATATTGTGAAGTAGATTAGTCCATTTCAGACCCCTAAACATACACGTACAAATGCACTTACATAAATACACTTACATAATTGGTCGCATTCGGAGGTGATCGTTATGCGGGGGTCCACTGTATGGTTATTTTAGCGGTTTGTTTAACGTCCATCAGAGAGATGCCTACCTGTCATCTTGAGCTTTTCTAGGCCGTGAATACTGTAATTCAATACCTATAATAATTTGCTTCTGCTCACACATTGTGTATAAATACTATAATAGATATTCTTATTCTACCAGTTTTGTTTCTCACCCTTCAGAGAGGTATGTCTGTATGTAGGTGCATCTAGAAGAGTACATCATATTGTCTTCTCTCTCACTGTTGAAACACACCCACAAATACAGTGTAATGCAGTTCTTTATTGAAAGTGTTTCATGCACTTGGAAGACTTTTTTATCTCTTCCACTTACATTACACAGACCTGAACCACATCCTCAGCGTGACTTGACTTGCCTGGCTGCCTTCTTAACACTCAACAAAATTACAACCTTTTTTTTTTTTTTCTTCAACAAATTGGCCGTATCCCACCAAGGCAGGGTGGCCCAAAAAGAAAAATGAAAGTTTCTCTTTTTAAATTTAGTAATTCATACAGGAGAAGAGGTTACTAGCCCCTTGCTCCTGGCATTTTAGTCACCTCTTACAACACGCATGGCTTACGGAGGAAGAATTCTGTTCCACTTTGACATGGAGATAAGAGGAAATAAACAAGAACAAGAACTAGTAAGAAAATAGAAGAAAACCCAGAGGGGTGTGTGTATATATACAGTGGACCCCCGGTTAACGATATTTTTTCACTCCAGAAGTATGTTCAGGTGCCAGTACTGACCGAATTTGTTCCCATAAGAAATATTGTGAAGTAGATTAGTCCATTTCAGACCCCCAAACATACACGTACAAACGCACTTACATAAATACACTTACATAATTGGTCGCATTCGGAGGTAATCGTTATGCGGGGGTCCACTGTATATGCTTGTACATGTATGTGAAGTGTGACCTAAGTGTAAGTAGAAGTAGCAAGACATACCTGAAATCTTGCATGTTTATGAGACAGAAAAATGGACACCAGCAATCCTACCATCATGTAAATCAATTACAGGCTTTCATTTTACACTCACTTGGCAGGACGGTAGTACCTCCCTGGGCGGCTGCTGTCTACCAACCTACTACCTAGGAAAATTAAACTTATGCTCTGTTAATTTTCTTTCATGTCATCTTTTTGCCTAGAGTTGTGTTGACTGTGCCCAGTATCAACCTGTAGGTCTTGTGTTACATGCACCCAAGTTTGGGTGCCTAGAATATTTTGATATTACATAGTTTTAGTGCTAAATAAATAAATTTAAGCCATGTGGATAATTGGTTACTAAGCAGAGCCTTTTAGGTAATACAGTAGAATGATACAGTATTCTTAATTTGTGGACACGTATTTATGGAAGAGGCCCTTGACTCAATTTATCTTGAAATTGTTGAGGATGTCACTGAGGTATCAGTGTGCACTATAAAAAAACCTTTGGCTATCAAGAAAACTTAAGAATTTTACAGTGGCCATAGTGGTGAATATCATAGATGAATTAAGAACAAAAATACCAAACTCTTGTTAAGTTTTTTGTTCATTTTTTTTTATTTATAAACATGTTTCTTCTTGTTTGGTGTTCCAAAATAGAAGAAATGCTTTCATAAAGTTTTTCTACTTTTCACATCTAGTAATTTATACAGGAGAACAGGGTTAGTCATGGTAAATATCTTCATTTATTATCCAAATATTTTCATTCTTTATCCAAACATTTTGTAGTCTAAAATTCTATCATCAAAATAGCTAGTTTACTAATCAGAGTCATAAAAAGTAAAATATGACTAGTAGGTACACAAATAAAACTGACACTTAAAATATCTAACCTATCATTTCTACTGACACAGCTTTACACTCATTAATCAAAATATATTGTTGGAACTGTTCACGACATTTCTTCAATACTATCAGCAATATGCTTTGTTATACTGTAGTGGGTTTTAAAGTTTGATTGACTACTGATCCCGTCAAATTATATAATCTAAAAGGTTAAAGTAAACCTCATGAATGTATACACGAAGACACTAACTCTCAGGATGCCTTTGTATCCAGTAATCGGTATAGTGTTGTGCACGTGTTCTAATCAATCTGTATAGTATACTACGTCTCCATTGATTTCTATCCCTACAATATATACAAAAGGATGTCTCATGAAATTGTAATAAGACGATGACAAACCACGGAATGATTGTGGTTTGTACCTATGACAAGTGAGTCCTAAAACTCCAGGCCATGGTGTCAGCCACTAGGCCAGCTGTTGAGATGGCTAGCTCCCTTGACCTGGTGTTTCACGACTCACTTGCATAGTTAAACTCTACCTATCTCTAAAGGATGTTCCTTGACAATTGTTTACACAGCTTGATGAAAGGTATACTGTAATGTGTTCTTCATTACAGAGGAAGGTGCCAGAATATCAAGCAGCCGAAACCCTCAAAGAAACACTCAGCTGTCTCCCTCCAGTGGAGAACCCCGAGCACCAGGATCTCCTCAGGTAGGTTAATATATTGAGTTTTTTTTTTTCCAACATACCAGCCATCTCCCACCTAGGCAGGGTGACTCAAAAAAAGAAAAGTGTTTTTTTTTAACACAACAACTGTCTCCCACTGAGGTAAGGTGGCCTAGAAATGAAGAAATGTATTTTTTTTTTACATTTACAGTAGACCCTCATATTACATGGTAGTTATGTTCCTGAAAAATGCGTGTTAGATAAATCTGTGTTATTTAAACTGAAGAACTTATGGGGAAAAATAGGGTTACATTCCTGGGACCCCCCAAAAGCCAAACAACTTTTTTTTAGACATCCAGATCTTACAAAAATGAAAATGATAATGTTGTTGCTTAAGACTACAAATGCAACAGAAATAATAATTTTTTTTTTTTTTTTCAAAAGTTTGCCGTCTCCAAGACAGGTGACCCAAAAAGAAAGAAAATCCAAAGAAAATACTTTCATCCATCATCAACACTTTACCACACTGCACATTATGTTTTTGCAGAAGTGCAGAATAAACTTTAGAAGCATACACATATAGATAACAACATACCTCCAAACTCCAAAATCCCAAACGCTCCTTTAAATGCAGCATTGTACTTTTTCAGATCAAGTCCGTATAATAAAATAACCGTTTCCCTGAATCCCTCACTAAACTATTACCCTCTCACACTCAACAGATTCAGGTGTACATTCGTACTACAATTGACTCCTTTTCTAACACGCTCACGTCATAATTGCTGGAATGTCCAAGCCCCCTTTACCCACATACTCCTTTACATCTCTCCAACCTTTCGAGGACGACCCCTACCCGACCTTCCTTTCCCCTATAGATTTATATGCTTTCCATGTCATCTTCTACTGTGATCCATTCTCTCTAAATGACCAAACCACCTCAACAACCCCTCTTCTGCCCTCTGACTAATACTTTTATTAACTCCACACCTTCTCCTAATTTCCACACTCCGAATTTTCTGCATAATATTTACACCACACATTGCCCTTAAACAGGACATCTCCGCTGCCTCCAACCATCTCCTCGCTGCTGCATTTACCACCCAAGCTTCACACCCATATAAGAGTGTTGGTACTACTATACTTTCATACATTCCCTTCTTTGCCTCCATAGATAACGTTTTTTGACTCCACATATACCTCAACGCACCACTCACCTTTTTTCCCTCATCAATTGTGGTTGCTCGTGCATGTCAATGATAGTGAAGAGAATGGAGATGCATGGTGTGGCCCTACTGGGCTGAGGTGGATGGTTGTTGGTTGTCGGCAGAAGTGGATGGTTAACCCTTAAACTGTCCAAACATAGATCTACCTTCGCTCATGTAGCGCTCCGAATTTAGATCTACATTTTTTTTCACATAAGAAAGTATGTAAAATCAAATGTAGATCTACGTTCAGAGTGCTACACGAGCGAACGTAGATCTACATTTGGACAGTTTAAGGGTTAAGGTTCTGGTACTAAAGTTGATGGTTTTATTGGAGTGTGCATAAATTCTGTAATGGATCTCTGGCTTCTTTTACCCTGCAGTACATTATACATTATTCCCGAAGCTTGGTACTGCCAGGTTGGAGTCAGAGTTCATTAATGCAACTAGTTTTTTCATCACTTTTCTTGTGTAGTTACACTTGAATGACTTAATAACTCTCTGATCCAGTGGTTGTATTAAAGATGTTGTATTTGGAGGTAAAAAATGCAACTTTTACATGTGGGGTCACATCCAGCAAAGCTTGTGGATGAGTACGGGAATTATCAAGAATGAAGAGAGCCTTGAATGCAAGGTTGTTGCTGTGCAGGTAAAGCTTAATCGGGAGTAATGAGCTTAAACCATCACAATTTTTCCCCTTTTCACCCATGCGCCCGGGTTTGCCCTCCAAATTACTGATTGGGTTTTTTAATACCCCCTTTCAAAGCACGAGGATTCTTAGAGTGGTAAATAGCCATGGGCTTACACTTGAAATTACCCGCCATTACCACAAAGGACCAGGTGAGGGACCTTTGTGCCGAAGCCCCATGCAGCCCCTTGGAGACAGTGGTCCCCACCACACCGGGGGTAGCCAGAGCTGGGGAAAATACCCCTTGGGTGAGGCTCCAATTTTTTTCCCCCCCCCGAAAACCCAAACCCTTTTTAATTAATTTTACGAAGTGTTTAAAAATTATGGAAATTTTTTTCAATAGTGTAAAACCAAAATGGCCAAATAAACATGCTAAATAAATCTGTAGTAATTTATTAAGAAGTGGTTACTAGCCCTTTGCTCCTGGTATTTTAGTCACCTCTTATGACATACATGGCTTACGAGGAAAGATTCATGTCCACTTTCCCATGAGTAATACACCAAGTTATTTATTATTATTATTATCACACTGGCCGATTCCCACCAAGAACAGGGTGGCCCGAAAAAGAAAAATTTTCACCATCATTCACTCCATCACTGTCTTGCCAGAAGGGTGCTTTACACTACAGTTTTTAAACTGCAACATTAACACCCCTCCTTCAGAGTGCAGGCACTGTACTTCCATCTCCAGGACTCAAAGTCCGGCCTGCCGTTTCCCTGAACCCCTTCTAAAATGTTACTTTGCTCACACTCCACAGCAACTCAAGTATTAAAAACCATTTGTCTCCATTCACTCCTATCAAACACGCTCACGCATGCCTGCTGGAAGTCCAAGCCCTCGCACACAAAACCTCCTTTAACCCCCTCCCTCCAACCTTCCTAGGCCGACCCCTACCCCGCCTTCCTTCCACTACAGACTGATACACTCTTGAAGTCACTCTGTTTCGCTCCATTCTCTCTACATGTCCGAATCACCTCAACAACCCTTCCTCAGCCCTCTGGACAACATTTTTTGTAATCCCGCACCTCCTCCTAACTTCCAAACTACGAATTCTCTGCATTATATTCACACCACACATTGCCCTCAGGCATGACAGCTCCACTGCCTCCAGCCTTCTCCTCGCTGCAACATTCATCACCCATGCGTTAGTAAAACTATACTCTCATACGTCCCCTCTTTGCCTCCAAGACAAAGTTCTTTGTCTCCACAGACTCCTAAGTGAAAACCGCTCACCCTTTTCCCCTCATCAATTCTATGATTCACCTCATCTTTCATAGACCCATCCGCTGACACGTCCACTCCCAAATATCTGAATACATTCACCTCCTCCATACTCTCTTCCTCCAATCTGATATCCAATCTTTCATCACCTAATCTTTTTGTTTATCCTCATAACCTTACTCTTTCCTGTATTCACTTTTAATTTTCTTCTTTTGCACACCAAGTACAGTGGACCCCCGCATAACGATGGCATCGCATAGCGATTTTTCCGCATAAGATTACTTTTATCGCAAAATTTTTGCCCCGCATACCGATTTAAAAACCCGCATACCGATTTTCGTCCGAGACGCGTCCAATGTGCCCTCAGCCAGCCTCACATGTGCCGCTCCGTCCCATTGTTTACCAGCCAGCCTCCCGGTAACATCCAAGCATACACTCGGAATATTTCGTATTATTACAGTATTTTCGGTGCTGTTTCTGGAAAATAAGTGACCATGGCCCCAAGAAAGCTTCTAGTGCCAACCCTACACCTCAAAGGGTAAGAATTACTATAGAGATGAAGAAAGAGATAATTGATAAGTATGAAAGTGAGTGCGTATAGCCGACCTAGTCAAGCTGTACAAGAAACCCCAATCACCATCGCTACTATTGTGGGCACCAGAAAGACAATCAAGGAAGCTGTTCTTGCCAAAGGTTCAACTGTGTTTTCGAAACAAAGATCGCAATTGATGGAAGATTTGAGAGCTCTTATGGTGTGGATAAATGAAAAACAGATAGCAGGAGATAGCGTCTCTCAAGCGATCATATGTGAAAAGGCTAGGAAGTTGCATGACGATTTAATTAAAAAAATGCCTGCAACTAGTGATGATGTGAGTGAATTTAAGGCCAGCAAAGGTTGGTTTGAGAGATTTAAGAAGCGTAGTGGCATCCATAGTGTGATAAGGCATGGTGAGGCTGCCAGTTCGGACCACAAAGCGGCCTGAAAAATATGTGCAGGAATTCAAGGAGTACATAGAACTGAAGGACTGAAACCTGAACAAGTGTTTAATTGTGATGAAACAGGCCTGTTCTGAAGAAAATGCCAAGCAGGACCTACATTACTCAGGAGGAAAAGGCACTCCCAGGACATAAGCCTATGAAAGACAGGCTTACTTTGTTGATGTGTGCCAATGCTACTGGTGATTGCAAAGTGAAGCCTTTATTAGTGTATCACTCTGAAACTCCCAGAGCGTTCAGGCAAAAGAATGTCCTCAAGGATAATTTGTGTGTGCTGTGGAGGGCAAACAGTAAGGCATGGGTCACTAGGGAATTTTCTATAACTGGTTACACCATGCATTTGCCCCCAATGTGAAAAATTACCTAACTGAAAAGAAATTAGAACTTAAGTGCCTCCTGGTGTTTAGACAATGCCCCTGGTCATCCTACAGACGTGGCAGAGCGACTTTATGGGACATGAGCTTCATTAAGGTGAAGTTTTTGCCTCCTAATACCACTCCTCTCCTGCAGCCCATGGACCAGCAGGTTATTTCCAACTTCAAGAAACTGTACACAAAAGCTCTGTTTGAAAGGTGCTTTGTAATGACCTCAGAAACTCAACTGACTCTAAGAGAGTTTTGGAGAGATCACTTTAATATCCTCAATTGTGTAAACCGTATAGTAAGGCTTGGGAGGAAGTGACAAAGTGACCTTGAACTCTGCTTGGAAGAAACTGTGGCCAGAATGTTGAGACAAAAGGGATTTTGAAGGGTTTGAGGCTAACCCTGAGAATCCTGTGCCAGTTGAGGAATCCATTGTGGCATTGGGAAAGTCCTTGGGTTGAGGTTAGTGGGGAGGATGTGGAAGAGTTGGTGGAGGAGGACAATGAAGAACTAACCACTGATGAGCTGCTAGATCAACTCAACAGCAAGAGCCACACCTGAGGAAATTGCTTCGG